ATAAGGCAGTGTAGAAGGTAATAAACATGTGTGGGGCATAGTCCTTCTTCTCAGGTGCATTGAGACTAGTCATAAAAGTAAGACATGTACATAAATTACTTTAATACAATGTAGAAAATGGCAAGATGCCATAGGCCACTATCTTGTGCCATGAGATAAGCAACAATGTGTGTGAACTACAAAATGAATGCTGCTTCACTTTTGCTCTCTAAATCTCCCATAAGAATCTCTCTTGTGACCTATCCTATCCAGAAATATATAATAAAGAAAATTCTGGGAAATCCAGTTTAGCCTGAACAAATTGACACAGTATAAAGCCATCACACCATCTCTTTCCACTCTCACTTTCTCAGTTGGCCCTCTAAAAAGTGTGATGGCAACGAGGATGGGCTCAGCAACATGACCTTCCACTTATCAAGCCTGATTTAACTTTGGCCATCATTAGTCATTAGGGAAACATAAGTCAAAACTATAATAAGACACAACTTTGTCCCCACCAGGATGGCTATAATAAAAAAGTTAGACAGTAACTAGTGGTGAGGATGTGGAGAAATTAGAACCCTCACACACTGCTGGTGGGAATGTAAAATAGTGCAGCTGCTTTGAAAAATAGTTTGGCAGTTCTTCAAATGGGGTGGGGGAGAATGGAGAGTGACTATGAATGAGTAAAGGTTTCTTCCTGGGGTGACAAAATGTTATAAAATTAGATGTGATGGTTGCACAACTCTGTGAATATTAGCACAAACCATTGAGTTGTACACTTTATTTTTTTATAATTTCAAAACATTTATAAACTGTAAATAATAGAAAATACAAAATATAAAACAAAGGAAAAGCAGGCAAGAGCGAAGTGCAAGAAACAGTTATTTCTTTGCCTAGCTATACAATAGGTTTACTTTGATCTACTGCTCTCAGCTGGATTCAAGTTAATATTTTTTTTTTACTCACTATTTTGCTAAGAGCCATGATATCAATTTCTTTTTTTTTTGAATTTGAAGCAACTAGTCTCCTTGTTGTTGAAGAGTTTTCTCCTGAAGCAAAAACCTCTCTTTTGGAGCAAAGTTTCCCTTCTGGGGTTATTGGTTTTGCCAGTGCTGAGTACCTTTAAGCTTCTCACTGGAGCTGGTCTGGAACAAGTACTTCTTCTGAACAGCTGAGCAAGTTGTCTCTCGACTTGGATGCCCTTGCTGTGCTGGAGGCCTTTGCAGTCACAATTGTCTGTCTCATCTTATTTCAATGAATGTACACTTTAAATGGATGAACTGTAGAGCATGTGCATGATAGCTTAAAGCTGTTAAAATGCTCTATCAATTATCTTTACTTATCCAACAGCCTCCAGAAGAATTCATATTATTTCTATCTTAATCGTTTTGTTTGTAATTTCTGTATATAACTAGAATCCCTTAGGAAAGATGGCATAACTGGTTGAAACATTTAATTCTTAATGATGTGTATTCATTTATACCTGAGTTTAATGGTTATCTTTTACCAAAGATGGGACTGCACAACTCAAATGCCCACTGTGTAAGCTGATAGCTGTGCAAATCCTGAGAAGAGGGGCTAAAAATAAGATGAAATACCAGAGCATGAACAAACATTCAGGAATGTGTTACCAGCCCTTGAATTAATGTGAAAGGTTGTAGATAAACATTTGGTAGTACTCAGAAACATACAAGGAGCAGAGGCATAAAAAAAATGCAAACCATAACAGTGTGCAAATATTATAACAAACCCAGATGGTAGATGAGTTTCCCAGGGAAATGGCTGGGCAGAAGAAAAGGAAAATGCTGGGACTTGGGCCCGGGCCCGGGGGCAGTCAGTAGATGGGAGAAGGGAGGGTCTTGCAAAGAATGGGAACTAAGTGAAGACTTGGGAGAACCAGCACATTCCAATGGGATAGATTTTTTTCCTTGTCGATTATGATGGCTTTTTAAAGGTAGAGTAGAACTATGCATGTTTGAAAAGAGCTTGGCTACCTGCATTTGAAAAGAGAAGAAAATTATTTTATTAAGTATTAACACAACACAATACTATCATTCTATTTAATGGGTCTCTTTTTAGATTATTTCTTTACTTAAAGCATTATTATGAACTTTGGAGAAGAAACCACTGAAATATTTCTCTTATAGGCTTGTCTCAAAACAGTGGGACTACAAGGGTGCCAAGGAATTAATATGGGTTGGAGAGACATGTTCCTAAACCAACCCAGAACATATCTGTTTATTTCCAAGATGATTAAAGAAAAATAGTTGGCAGCTTTCCTCAGTGGCCTATGATACTCTTTAATAACACTCACTTCCTTTTATTTAACTAAAATATAAAAATACACAGAGATAAAACCCTCTAACATGCCAATAAGTAAATGCTACTTCCTTACTATAAACTTGGCTTATCTTACATGACCAACGATAAAGAATAACGTGGGAGCCATAAACTGTCATCTGGCAACAGTCTCCTGTATTATGAACATTGGTAGATTGATGTTGTAGTTTCCTAAAGGGAAGTAAGTGTTTTGGGCACAGTTTCAAGGACATCATGTTCTACTCGACATCAACAATTTGTGCTGTATCAAAGACATTATCCTTTAAAGATTAAAGGCCACATTGGAAGGGTAAGAACATTTCAGAGTACAGTATAGGCGCAAAAAATGAACTTAACCTTTGTTCAAGATTTTTTATTTTTATTTTTAAAAAGCAGTAGCCATGTGGAAGTATTCCTGAAGTTGCTGCTTCACTCTTTTGTGTTGTAAACATATTTCTGCTGATAAATGGATTAGGATTGAGAAACTGCTGACACCTTTGTGAGAAAACTATGCCATTACATTTAAGAGGCTGAGAAGAGCTGGTTAGCAGACCATTCTCAGCTAACAGACATCCCCAGGCCCTCCTACTGCACTACTTTGGAAATGCACACATGCAAAAAGTAGTCTCAAAAATTCTCTAATTTAGAAGAAGGCTGTGGAGGAAATAAGTCTTCCATGGGCTTGTGAAAAAGGAAGAGGTGACATGTAGGTGACTGTTTCCACATATATGCATTTCTTTAGCAGATTAAGTTTTCTGTGGAATAAAAGCAGAGAAGCCAGAAAATATTAACTAATATAATCCCTTTATCAACTTGATGCCTCTATCAGTAAGATAAAAATTAATGTCATGGTGGGTCTTCATGATCTTCTTAGAATATTCCATGATCTTAGAATATTCCATTCCTGAAAAAAATTGTCAGGCTAGAATCTTCTCTCTTGCTGAAATCTTCACTTCTCCTTCCACCTCTGTTTAACAAGGCTAAGCTCAGGGGGTCTTTTGGACCTTGCATGAAATTATACTGTGATTGGCATTTTCCCAAGAAGAACTTCATTAGGAATGTGGGACACGTTTTGTTGAATTGTATTTATAATACATTTCTTAATGCCCCCAGACAATTAAACATATTAATTTTTTAAAATATTTTTTCAAAGCAAAGATCAGTTTTTTATAAGATGTTAACAATATAAATTTATCTTATAGAGGAAAATGTAGATGTTTCCCAATTTTAATGAAGGGAAGAATTATAATAAGAACCAGCTGTTGTGAAGACTGATTGTGAGCCATTATTTAACCTCATTCTCTCCCCTTTCCATTGCTATTTTGGTGATCTGGGTAAAATGTCTCTGCCCATTTCTCTCAGAACATGTTATGGCGTTTTCCAAAGATGACATTGTTTCCTTGTCAGTAGTCTTTTTTTTTTTTTTTTTTTCTAAAATATGTTTTTATTGATGTTTTTAGAGAGAGAAGAAGGGAGAGAGAGAAGAAAGGAGAGAGAGATAGAAACATCAATGTAAGAGAGAAACATTAATCGGCTGCCTCCCTCATGGCCCACACTGAGGATCAAGACTGCAACCCGGGCATATGCCCTGACCAGGAATCAAACCAGGACCTCTCAGTCCATGGGACGACACTTAATCTACTGAGCCACACCAGCCGGGACTCATTGGTCGTCTTATACCCCAGAACATTTTTTAAAAATTTTCTTTTATTGATCTTAGAGGGAGAGAAAGAGAGATAGAAACATCGATGAGAGAGAATATCGATTAGCCGCCTCCTACATGCCCCCCACTGGGGATCGGGCCCACAACCTGGGCATGTGCCCTGACCAGGAATCGAACTGGTGACATCTTGGTGCACGGGTCAACACTCAACCACTGAGCCACACCAGCCAGGCACCCTAGAGCATTTTAGTCTCCATTTTTACTCTTTAGAATTATAAATGATATGAGTGGAAGGTTTATGAGTTTCACACGTTAATGTTCTCTGTTTCAAAAATTGGAAAGTTTAAGATGTCTTTAGAACAAGCCTATTGCAACATTTCATCAACCATACAGAAGGCCAGAAAACTTAATGCTTATGAGCAAATGCTTTAGGAATAGGAAATTTCCATTCTACTACTTTCTAGCTAATATTCCCAGGATTTAATTTCTTCATTTATAAAATGGGAATATTAATAGTGCTTACCTCTCAGGGTTGGGGTAAGCATTACATGAGGTAATGCATATGAAGAGCTTACACCTGTGCTAGGCATGGAGAAAGATCATAATAATGTTAGAAATAATGGTGGTGGTAATGATAATAAAGAATTTGAAGTCTCAAAAAGTATTACAGCATTACAAGGTACTATATTTCAGAGAAGAAATCAGATCACGTAATCTGCCAAGTTATTTGAATTTGTTATATTGGAGGAGAACATTACTTATTTGTCACTTACTGGCTGCATGTATTTTTATTCAATTGGAGTATGCATGCACACACTTGCAAGTGTGCACACATGAATGCAAATGCTGTTATGTCTTATGTCCCTGCCTTGATGTTCAGTTTTGCTTCAGCCCTCTAGACACACTTAAGCCTTCTAGATCCTCTAGACACACTAGAGGATCCTGTTACTTTAAAAATGGCTCTTAAGTTGGTTGGTTTTGAGTTTTTAAAATGCTAACCTCATTTAAGGCACTATTCTTTATTTTTATGTTGCAGGGAAAAACTTACCCATTTCGGGGTGCATTCCCTCCAGTCTGGAACCCCATCGCATATCTGGATTACAACAATCTGTGGCGGACAATGGATAACATGGGAAAGGAGGTAAACTTTGTGTTCTGCTTGCACGTGACCTGTTCCTCAAATATCAATAGTTACTGTTTAATATCCTTCCACAGTACAGGGAACATTGTTCTGGGTAATGATGCATACTTTTCAGTAAGCCCAACAAGTCTGAAAAATTGGAAGTATTTCCACTTTGCAAACAAGGAAAATAAATGCCAAGGGGATACGTAATTTCCCTAAGACCATACAGCAAAGGAACCAGGATTCAAACCCACATCTGTCTAATACTAATGTCTTTGTACTTTCCATTCTATGCCACTGAGAGTCTATGTGACTTGTTTGCTAGGTATCCTACTTATAGTTGTCTTATCCATATGTGATGCCACTTTAGTAGTAAAGGAGAGAATGATTATTTTCCCTGAAGTTTTTTCACTTAGTCTCCGGCTTTATAACATCACTCTGTCAAACTTAAATTGGGGACTTAAAATTGGTGTTATCTTTCAATAATAATCCCAACCTCACCACTAAATATACATTGAATTGTATGCCAATCACACATTCCATCATGGACAAGTTTGCAGAGGTTCTTCTCAAGGCATCTTGGCAGGGCAGTGGGCAATAACCATTGCATCTGGATATGAGCCCTTCTTTCTCTACAGATTCCAGCTGATGCACCATGGAATGCCCCACATGCTGAAGAATGGGACAGAATTACAATGAAAGAACTCATTGATAAAATCTGCTGGACACAGTAATCTTAACTATTTAAAATTTACTTTTATCTTCCATGCTAATTCTTTCCATCTTATCTTGAATTACAGCATTTTTCCTTATAAGCAGTTGGAAAAGAGTTAAGAGTAAACAATGATTTTTTTTTCAGTCAGTAGCAGCATTGAGGGCACTTAGAGATTTCAGAGCAGGTTTGAACATAAAATGAATGTAAAACATAAGAAAGTAGGTGAATGAAATAGAACCTTTTTTTAATGAAAGGATTGTGTGATTTGCAATAAAACAAGTAATTATGTTTTCAGATTATATAGCAGTCAGCTAAAGAAGCAATTTGGAAAGATATTAAAGTAATTCCATATAGATATAAAATATGAAACTAGAGGGATACTGGTATATTTTAACAAATAAACTATATAATGTTTCCAGTGAGAATCTGTGTTATTAGCTGAGTTACTTCAGATTATGCAGTCACCGTTTGGGGTTGCTATATGATGGCATGTACCAAGCACTGAGGGTTAGTGGTGAATTTGTTAAACAAGACTTCTACTCTCATGGAGTTTACATTCCTCTAAAAGGATACTGGCATTTAGAAAAAGTTACATAATGCCAGGAGAGTCACTATAGCAATGAACCTGAAATGTCAGAGAATAAAAGAAATATTCTTCGATGAAGCAATATTTAAACAGAAATCAAAAAGAGCATCAACTGAAAATAAGCCTCAGAGGATGGGAGGAAAAAATGAAAGGTAGAAGGTGTAGGGGCATGGTATCTTTCAGGAATGTTTTTTTGTGGATAAAAAGACAACAAAGATGGTTAGTGTAACAAGTTACAGTGGATGGGGAAAATAAGAAAGGTGGGTGGTGTGTGCAGATGGTATATTTGAGGAATGAGCCATGGTGGATGGAGGGAGATATGAAAGATGGATGATGTGTTCAGATAGTATCTTCCAAGAATGAGCCAGTTACTAGGAACAAATAGGAATAATGGATGGTGTGAAGGATGGTATATTCCAATAATGAACCTCAGTGAATGGAGGGGATACAGGAAAGATGGGCGGTGTGGTGGGATGCCATGTTCCAGAAATGAGCAATAGTCAATGGAGAAAGATATGAAGGGTAGATAGAGTGGGGTATTGGTATCTTCCAAAACTGACCCACAGTGGATAGTTGGAGACAAAAATGATGGGTGGTATGGGGGAATGGTACCTTTGAAGAATGAGCAACAGTAGATAAAGGGAGACACAGATGATGGATGGAGTTAGTGGATAGTATCTTACAGAAATGAGCCATAGAGGATTGGGGAAGACAGGAAGGGGAAGACAGGAAGAGGTGATGGTGTAAGGGGATGATATCACTCAGGAATGAGCCACAATGGATGCGGGTAGATGGCTAAGGATGAATGTTGTGGGAGGATGGTATCTTCCAAGAATGAAATACAGTACATGGGGGAAGGCAGTAAGGGTGAATGCACTGGTAGAATACTGTCTTCCAGGAATGAGCTCAATTGATGGGGGAGGGGACAGGAAAGATGGATGATATGTGCAGGTGGTATCTTCCAAGAATGAAGTAATTAATGGGGTGAGGGATACAGGAAGACTGGATGAAGTGAGGGGGAAGAACTTTCCAGGAGTGAAGGAATGATATTTCTGCATAGAACCCCAATGGATGGGATGGGAGAGAGACAGGAAGACTCTATAATGTGTGTACAAGGTATCTTCCAAGAATAAGCCACAGTGGATGGGAAGACAAGAAGGCTAGGTGGTAGAGGTGACTTTCTGGAATGAGCCACAGTGGATGGGTAGGTACAAAAAGAGAGGTTATGTGAGGGAGTGGTATAATCTGGGAATGCTCTACAGTGATTGTGGGGGGAGACAGGAAGGATATATGATGTAGAAGGATGGTATCTTCCAAGTATAAATCACATTTTATGGGGCTATACAGGAAGGTGGGATTCTGTGGGGGAATGGTATCTTCTAGGAATGAGCAACCATGGGTGTGGTGGTGGGGAGATGGATGGTATGGGGGAGTGGGTATCTTCTAAGAATAAGACAGTGGATGGAGGTAGGGGAAAGACAGGAAGACTGGATGCTGTGGGGGATGGTATCTTCAGGAATAAGCCACAGTTGTTGGGGAAGACATAGGAGATGAAATATGTGTTTAGATAGTGTTTGTAGCAAAGATCCACAGTGGATGGAGTGAGAGAGGAACATTTTGGATAGTGTGGAAGAATGTTATCTTCCAGTCATGAGCCAGTTGATATGGACACAAGAAGAATGAATGGTGTAATGGGATGGTATCTTCCAGGAATGAGCCACAGTGCATGAGGGATACAAGAAGGGATGGTGTAGAGGAAAATTGTCTTCCAAGAATGAGTCACCATAGATTAGGAGGAAACATAAAAGATGAGCGGTGTTTGTCCAGCCAATGTGGCTCAGTGGTTGAGCATCAGCCCATGCACCAAGAGGTTGCTGGTTCGATTCCCCATCAGGGCACATGCACAGGTTGTGGGCCAAATCCCCAGTGGGGCGCATGCAGGAGGTAGCCAATCAATGTTCATTCTCATTGATGTTTCTATCTCTCTCTCTATCTCTAAAATCAATAAAGAAAAAAATAAAATAAAACGATGGGTGGTGTTTGTAGATAGTATCTTCTGAGAATGAACCAAGGTAGTTGAGGTATGGTTGGGGAAATGGATGGTGTGAGGGGATGCTATCTTCCAAGAATTACATACTGTGGATGGGTGCAGACCTGAAAGATGAATGGTGTGAAGGATGGAATGTTCCAGGAATGAGCTACAGTGAATGGTGGGATCTATGAAGGGTGGGTGGTCTGGAGAAGTTATTTTCCAGGTAGAGAGAACAGCAAACAGCTTTTATAAAGGCCTGATATTAGAAGATCGGCACATTTTAGCAAAATATGGACAGTATTCCCTGCACCATAAAGATGCCGTAAGAAAGTAATGTAATGAAAGGTTGGAGAACTGGTTGAGATGCTTAAGGTGCAAGATTAATTGGCCTTATTCAAGACTTTTGCCTTTTTCCATGAATACTATTAAAGGGATTTAGCAGGGTGGAATTTTTTTTTTTTAGTTTTGGGCTGTTAAAAGACTTAATTGGCTACAATTTGGAGAAGCATCAAGAGGGAATATAAGAGAACCAGGTAGGGATAACCATGAGCAGACACCATTGTAACCCAGGTTCCAATCATTGGTAGCCTGTACCAGGATGGGGGCAGTGGAGGTGGAGAGTAGAGGATGATTTTATTCAAATATGTGAGAACAGATATCCTTAATTATCCCCGAGATACATATTGATCCTTTAGACTGCACTGGGATTAGCATATTTGGAGATAGCCCATAATTTCCTAAAAGCAAGGGGAAAGTTTATTGTTTCCAAAGATTTAAAATATGTATTCCTTCAGAAATTGAGTTGGTCAGTTTTTTCAAAAGCCATGAAAATATTTTCTAACATACTAAATTGTGTTTTAAAAACATAATGTCCCGTGAAGTATATGTGTATTTATCCCTAACATCCACTCTTGTTCTGTGACCAGGACTGCTAAGCAGTTTGCATCTCTCTTTGTGAACATCAATGTGACCTCTGAGCCTCACGAGGTGTCTGCCCTGTGGTTCCTGTGGTATGTGAAGCAGTGTGGTGGCACCACTCGGATATTCTCGGTTACCAACGGAGGCCAGGTATGAAGTGTCCTTTCACAAATATAATTTAATTTGAGATTTTTGCCCTCACCCAGATCAGTGTCTTAATAATTGCTTCTGCATTTTGAACATGAATAATTAGCAGCTTGAAATAATCTCAGAAAACTTTTCTGAAAAAAAAAATTTCTCATTTCCTTTTCTTATTCTTGAAAATAATTTTACAGCTAAAGAATGTTTCATTTTGGATTAATTAGGTTTTGGGAATTTAGTTCTTTGTTTTTGGAGGTAGGTAAAATTAAGCTGTTTATATAAAGAGGAGCTAAATTACTGAAATAACTATTTTCCAAAAATTTCTAGTACAGTCATCCCCCATCATCCACGGTTTTTCTCTCAGCAGTTTCAGTTACCTGAGGTCAACTGCAGTCTGAAAATATTAAATGGAAATTTTTAGAAATAACCAATTCATAAGTTTAAATTGTATGATATTCTGAGAAACAAGATGAAATCTCATATCCTCCCACTCTGTCCCACCTGGGATGTAAGTTGTCCCTTTGTATACTGTCTCCACACTGTAGATACTCCCCACTTGTTGATCACTTAGTAGCCATCTCAACTGTTGTGGTATTACAATGCTTGTGTTCAAGTAACCATTATTTTACTTAATAATAGCCCCAAAGTGCAAGAGTACTGATGCTGGCTGTTCAGATATGCCAAAGAGAAGTCGTAAAGTGTATGTACGTATAGGAAAAACATGGTATATGTTGAGTTTGGTTCTATCCATAGTTTCAGGCATCCACTGTGAGTCTTAGAACACATCTCACACAGATAAGGAGGGATTATTGTACTTGTAAAAGTATTGTGCTTAAAGTGATCTCTACTCCAGACATAAGGCTTTTGTGTCCCATTCTATGTTTTAGTTATTCGTATATGTTAACTGCTATAGAATGGAAGTAACTGTTCTTTCTTCTACTTTTCACAGTGATTTATGACCACTTTTTCAATAGTAAATTGTACATGTTAGATTATAAAGTTTTACTGTCAACTACAATTTGCCTGGCTTCATATAACTTCCATTATGGACTCATTTAGCTTATTGGCTGGGTACACAGCAAACCAGTAGTGAGGCCATAATCCTAATTCTCCAATTTTTTAGCCTCTGAGATTGTTTCAAGTCTCTCTCATCAAAAAAAAAAAAAAAGAGTCTCTTTCCTAGGAATGTTATGCCTCAATGGGATGAGGTTTAATTAGGAGTAGTTTACTTCTAACTTTGCTCTATTCCACAGTGCAAGGCATAGAATCTTTCTCCACTAAGTGAATTATTTCTCTCCTTAGGAGATATCTAGAAGACCCCAAGTTGTTTTTGTGGCCCCAAGAGTTATTGTCCAATTGACCCTTAGCTTTAGCAAATGCAAGACAGTTGCATTTTTGTGCCTTTCCTTATAGGCAGAAATAATACATTACTTCTTTAAAGTTATATTTTACTTTACAGGGTATCCTGACTCATTCAGAGGAGCCAAGATGTTTCTAGCCAAACTCTACACAACCTTTTGAAAAGGACAATTTATATTTGACTCACAGTATCTTTATAAAGAACTTATATTTATTCTCTAGTAATTTAGTTCAACCAATACTAGACATGGAAGGGTAGACTGTGAACAACATGAAAATAGTCTGTGGTCTTTTCATTTACACTATACTAACATTTAATGTAAGTCTTGGAAAAAAGAGGTCAAAGTATAAATTAAATGGTCCCAGTTTCTTGAGGAAAGACAGATTATGAATTTAGGTCTGAACTACTATGGACATATTTTTATAAAGAACTCTGGTAGTGGTATTAGAACAATAGTTAGTTATAAAAGCATAAAAATCACTGTGTGCCTGCTCATGCAAGGTTTTCTAGAGTAGCATGATTGAGGTACCTAATTGTCAAATGTTGGGCTGTGCTTCATTCAAAGATTCTTCTACAACCGGGTAAGTATATTCCCCTGGTTCTTACAAAATGCATTGTATTAAGAATTTACCTTGTTAGATTAAGCTGATTAGTTGGATTTGTGTAGCATATCACAGTCGGGCAGAGTACTCATGGTCTTACAGGGCTACTCAGCGGAACTATTTAACAATATCTGGAAGAACAGGCAGGTGCCTAACTTTCACCCTTTTGTCCCTGCATTGAAACCTCCAGACATTTTTGCAAAAAGTTACTCAAAATCTGAGATTTAGATTCTTAGAACATCGTTGGGTGATGACCAGATGATTTACAAGTGCACCTTGAGCCTGTTCTCTTAGAGGACATTTTAATCTGCCTAGGCAAACCTTGGCTGGGCCTTTGAGAAACAAGGAGAGTTAGAAACCGCATCCCCATTTCAATAAAACTAGAAAAAAAAAATTGATTTTAAAAAAAGAGCCCTGGCCAGTTTTGCTTAGTAGTTAGAGCTTCAGTCTATGGACCAAAGAGCCGTGGGTTCGATTCCGGTCAAGGGCACATTCCTCGGTCGGTCAAGGGCACATTCCTCCGTCGCAATTATATCCCCAGCCCTGGTCAGGGTCATGCAGGAGGCAACCAATCAATCAATCAATGTGTCTCTCTCACATTGATGTCTCTCTCTCTCTCTCTCTCTCTCTCTCTCTCTCTCTCTCGCCCTCCCTCCCTCCCTCCCTCCTTCCCTCCCTTCCTCCCTCTCTCCCTTGTTTTCTCACTCCCACTCTATCTGGAAATCAATGGAAAAATATTCTTGGGTGAGGATTTTAAAAAAAGAAAGCATATCTCATGGGAGAAGCACTTTCTCAGGGTTCCTTCCATGCACTGCACTCTTGGACAATTGAAGCCCACAGACTTGCTGATATTTATTTGCATCCAGTCAAGGGACCACTGGTATAGGGGACCATTTCTTTGAATTCTGTGATTTTATAAACTAATATCTGCTTTTCATTGCCAGAAACTGCAGTGCATGATAATCGAGGTCTCATGGTAGACTTTGCTTCTGACCTAATGAGTTCTTTCAACAGTTAAGTGTACAGTGGGTAGAGGTATGGCCTCTGACTTTCTGGAGGTTTTCTAATCAGTGGCAAATATGATACTCCTTCCTTGGGTTTTTATAACATTTCTTTCCTGCCTTCTCCTGTAGGAACGGAAGTTTGTAGGTGGATCTGGTCAAGTGAGTGAATTGATAATGAGCCGTCTTGGGGACAGAGTGAAACTAAGTCGTCCTGTCACCTCTGTTGATCAGTCAGGTGACAACGTCATCATAGAGACATTGAATCATGAAGTTTATGAGGTAATTAAATTTAGACAAAAGGAACATATATTAAATAGACTTTGTGTCTTTTGTAGCTTCTTACCAAATATAAGCAGCAGCATAATTAATGCTGGTATGTTTCCTGCTCTATCTTCCAAATGACCAGCCTTGGTTGACTTGCCTTTTTTTTTTTGCCTCACAGTGACCTCATTTTATATGCTGTTACTGCTCATTGTTATTCAAAATGATAAATATCATGTTTCACACCAGGTGGTATTTTGCGTTTGTGTCTTTTAGTGCAAATATGTTATTAGTGCCATCCCTCCAACTCTGACAGCCAAGATTCACTTTATTCCAGAGCTGCCACCTGAGAGAAACCAGTTAGTGCAACGTCTTCCAATGGGAGCTATCATTAAGTGTATGATGTATTACAAGGAAGCCTTTTGGAAGAAGAAGGGTAGGCTGCATTTGTTCATGTTTAAATTATATTAACTGAAGGAACCACACCTTTTTAAGGAACATTATACTAGATACTGAATAGGGAAAAAAAAAAAGGTAAGTGGTTTCAAATTGGTAGAGAAAGGAACAGAAATCTCAGTTGTTGTTTTTTTTCTTATAACCCTTCGTAACACAAAATAACCCCAAGAATACCTGCTGGCAGTAAAAGGGAAGGAAGAGATCCCACTAGTTGCAGGACCACCATTACCCTGACTCCTGGCATATGTTCTCCCACTTACTCTTCATGAGCAGAGTGAGGCAAAGGGGGACCATGGAAAGAGCATTGCTTTGAAGTCACACATTCCTGGGTTTCACTTGCTTAGTAGCTGTGTGGCCTGTGGTGTGACACTTCAACTCTCTCAGCATCAGTCTCTTTGTGTAAAATGGTGACAATGAGACCTACTTAGGTTATTGTGAGGATTAAATGAGGCAAGGCTGAAATGCTATGGTGGCTATTGTTGATAAACCTTCTGCCCATACTCAAAGGATCCCTTCCTGCCACTTCTTCCATGAGTTAATAGGGGTGATTCTCGTTAACACACCCATCTCTTTCCCTATGTATTCAAGGGCTCCAAGATCATCTTACAGTTTTACTAATGTATTTGTCATACATGATATTTATGTAAAGGTCATCAAGATGGGTCATTTTCCATGTGTCTGGGTGAACAGACATCTTGTATAGTCAAGAGTGTGTATTTGATAGGAAATAGATTCTATCAAATAGAATCTAGGGTTTGGGCAAAAACCAATAGTTTAAGCTTTGTCTTTCCCTTAGCAAAAAAAAATATATATACATATATATATATACATGTGTATATATATGTATTTATCTCTGATGAGGTCAGTTTCAATATCCTATTTATTTTCTTCTGTTTAAGACTACTGTGGTTGTATGATCATCCAAGATGAGGAGGCTCCAATTTCAATAACCCTAGATGATACCAAGCCAGATGGATCACTGCCCGCTATCATGGGGTAAGTTAGAGCTGGGTGTTCTACACTTTCCAAATGGTGTTGGTGTATTGGTGTGGACACTGGAAGAACATTTGTTTTGTAATCAAGCTCAAGCAATGACAACTAACCCTATAGAAATATATCATGTTTCCATGTATTAAAATATTACAGTAATGTTTTGTATATAACACAAGAACACTGGGAGCTTTACTAAAATTGACAACATTCGAATTTGTGCCCATCTATTTTTTCCTCCATAAAACTTATATATTGAGAACAGTGAAAGAAGCAACTAAATAGGTAGTATGATAGACAACCCTGCTTAGAAGCAGAATGTCCACAACCATTCTGGAATGAGAACTGTTTTATTCTTTAAAATCTTCCAAAGTTGGGGTTTCTGGGATTTATCCTTTTCTCCATTCCAAACATTTCTACAGAGCAAATGTTAATATGTTCATTGTTTCTCTGGGATGTAAGATGGATAACCAATTAGTAAGTGCAGTTTGAAGGAGATCCAGTCCTCAAGTAGATGGCACTTTTTCTAGTAGGTCACTCTATGACTTCCTTCACCAGGGATGGTCCAGGGGAAAGCTCTTCTCCTCTGCTCTCAATCTGACACACAGCTGCTCTGTCCTTTGAGGACTGGTCCAGAGAGGGAAAGGGGCTCCCACAGATTGGTAAGGAGTGCCACAGCCTCCCAGTTGCCATATCTTTTAGCCCTCCCCAAAGCTATACCACCAAAACGGTTATTTATTCCACCACATGGCCACAAAAGAGCACAATTCATATAGCATTCGAGTGACTTTTAGAGACCAGTGATTTTCCCCTTTACCCCTGGGAGAGTTGAGCTCATGCATATTGCATCTTTGAAGGGAAATTACAAAAGACAAAAGGAGCAGACCCATGACCCAAGGGACACAGAAAACAGGCTAGGCAACCAGACTGCCAACAAAACATTTTATAACCACTTCTCTGGCTATAAAATATAAGAAACAGCATCAGCCTCACTTAGAAGGGCAGGTGTTCACAACATAATAGCCATAGGAACCAAACATCCTCTTCATTTCTAACCCCTCTGGGCAGGAAAGGTTACAGTTTGCAGTTTGGCATCACCTGCTATATGCCAAAGGAAAGCATGAGGTCGAGGTAGAGATTTTAGGAGACTCAATCAAGATCAGTCTGCTTGTGAATGAAAGAACAATGATGTTCTTCTTTCCCTGGGAGTTAGATATTGTAGCATCTGCCCTTCTGGGTTTTCTCCAGTTTTATAAACAAGGATATGTATGGCAGAAGCCTTCCATATAGTAATGGGGTTATTTAGGCAGTTTCTAAAATGTTTTATCTGGACAATTGCCTCCACCCTGTTCTTGCCTTGAAACTATATTGCCACCACCCTGCTCTTTGCTCTGAGCAAGGAAAGCCTTGAAGATAGGAGTATTAATTGCCCAGTATTGTGTTTGAGATAATTAGTGCCTTTTGGAAACTAGAAAAGAATTTGGACTTTTCAGCTGTGAAATGTTTTCAACCCAAAGCCAGTGTGTTTGATTTCCTCAATAAAACATTGAAGAAACTTACAGGATAGTTGTCCATATGGAAGTAAGTCAAAGAGGTTATTTAATTCTCAACTTGAGATTCGACAGAAATAGCCTACACTAACTGCCCTTTAGAAAAGGAGCTGTAAAAAGCAGCCAAGATCTAAGAAGTTTTTTTAGCCAAATGATTTAATCTTTCATCAGATATTGGTGATTTTCATTGAAATAATCACATAAGTCTAAAATGATTGATTCTTGCATAAACCTAAAATTTAACCAAAATCATTACTAGCAAGCCATAACAAAAGGTGTTAAATCAAGCAAAAAATGTTATTTCCCATAAAGTACAATAGTTCAAATTTCTTAAACAACTTCCTCTAAAATACTGTTCTCTGGATTAATGTAAATATGTTTTTATATCTTTGCTTTCTAAAATGATCTCAAATAACAGCTCTAAAGGAATTGCTAATCAAATTGAGAAACAGTTTAATTTGGGGGTGAGAGAGAGGATGAAATACTTGTTTTTAGCCCTTTCATTTTCAGTCCTGATCTACTTGTCTTTTTTGTCTAGAACAAAAGAAATACAATTTTTAAACATTTTTCAAATGGAGGTATCATTGTCCCTTAGCTTATTTGGATTTAAAAAAGTGTTTTCTAGTAGTAGTATAATATAACTAAGGATGTCTTATCACAATTTATTTATTTAAAATATATATGCAATTAGTAATATTAATATAACAAATATAGTCTGTTTGATTAAAGGGAAGCAGACAGGTTATAACTGAATTTTACTGAGTTACTAAATTTGGGGAATGTACTAGGGAAGCCAACTCAAAGATGAGATATGGGTGCAGGAGGTTTGTTGGGAAGTGCTCTGGGAATCACTACCTGTGCAGAAGGGAATAAATCAGGATAAAGCAGAGGAAGAGATTGGTTTTCAGTGTTGATCCAATGGAGGCATAAGCCATCCATCCCACAGTGAGCTCTGGATCTGGATGATCCTTCAGAGGTATCCTGCACTGAAGCAAGGAGTTAGGTCTTATACCCACTGCGCTCCTGCGCTAGTCATTCTGGGGGGGGGGGGGGGACAAGGGATCTTGAAGCAGGCAGTTCTCTGCTGCAGAGTGGAATTGCTGGAGAAGGATTCAGCTGTGAGCTGTGGGCAATGAGTGCTTGGTCCTGAAGAGGAATCTGGCTGGCCCATCATGGCATCCAATACAGATACTTATTTATATTTGTTTTTCTAGCTTTTATCAAGTATTTGACAGAAGGCAATAGTCATTACCAGGATAATCATTTAATGCAACATTAATTTTTCAGACATTTGATTTCCTACTATATGCCAAAAGCTGCCAATCTTTCGGGGTAAATATTAAATAGGACGCCATCTGTCATTTAGGAGCAACAGCTCAGCAGAGGTTTTGGATACAGAGGCAGACCGAAGACAGCATGGCATTTGTTCTAGTAGAGGGAAATATTGGGAGGGTGTGGGAGATTTTATTAATGCTCAGTATATGGAGGCAAGAGCACTTCAAAAGAAGAGGCAACTCAAACTGTTGTCATATAATTGTTCAAATGTAACCTCTCTCTACAGCTTCATTCTTGCTCGAAAAGCTGTCCAACTAGCTAAACTCCAAAAAGACCAAAGGTAAGAATTTACTTCTGAAACTTATGCAACAGGTTAGCTTTATATTGTGCATGTTGCGCTAACAGTATAATAGCATTATGAAAAACAATAATTCACTAATATTCTCAAAATCCTAATAAATCAACTTTTTTTTTGTATTTTACTACAGCCCCCTCGACACAGTCCTTCCCCATAGGCATATATTAATTTTGTTTTACATATTTTTATTTTACAGTGGTTGAGATGCCAGGGTTTCCCTGTAAGATAGATGGAGAAAAATCATAGCAGATGTTAGCTGTGAAAAAAGTTTTAGAGACTCAGACCTGATCACTGTGCAAGACCTTTATCCCTTTACTAAAGTTCTCTAACATGCACTGTTTCTGAAAAGCAAATCCATACATATGTGTCTGAACCTGTTTCAACTTACGTACATAAAAGTGTTCCCTTTTATTAGGGGAATTATCTAGATTATCTAAGACATAGTTCTGATGTTACCTTCTCAGAAGAGATTCCTAGTATAAAAGAATTTTAAAAAATTAAAAAAATAAAGACAATGGATCTTTCTTTCTTTCTCTCTTTCTGCCTTGTATTTTTGTTTCGTGGTTTTTGTTGTTGTTTGTTTTGGGTTTTTTTTATTTGTTTTGTTTTTGCCTTGGAATCATTTGGTCAAATAGAATATTTTCTGGAAACAGTAATTTAGCTGCTGGGGGCTGCCTCTGAGAATTTCTGAACTTCCCCTTTTGCAGTAGCTTTAAATCCTTTGTTAGCTTTTGAAGAGGACCAATACACACACCAATGTATACTTCTCTCTGCACTTAATTTAAACATTAAACAACAAATTTATTAGCAGCCCTTGCTTTGAGAATTACTTGGATGACCTTGGAAGTCAAAAAAAGGCTGCAGAAGTACCTACATTAATTAGCACATGGATTAGTTTATTTAAGCTGCCATGACATTTGATGTCAGGAAGGGAACTATTTTAGTGTTCACCTACTCACTTGATAGAGGAAGAATTGTAGGTCCAGTAATGGGAAATGATTTGGCCAAGGCTCTGCATCTAGCTTATCACAAAGTCAGGAATAGCATCTAATGCATACTTTCTTTCATTACAACACACACTATGCTTGACATTTTCTTTTGGATTTCCTGCTTCCCTTTCTTATTAATAGTAAAATAAATACCAGCCTGGGTATAGACATTTGGTTATGATTCCAAATAATATCTGAACTTCTAAAAAATTTTTATATGGCAAAACCTTTAGAAGTCTGAATACGTCGTTGACTGGAGCAGCAGTTCCCAGAACCGACTGCATCAAAATCTCCCATAGGATTTTTGATATTGTGTGCACGCGCGCGCGTGCGCACACACACACACACACACAGAATGGAATATTACACAGCAATAAAAAGAATGAAATTTTACCATTTGTGACAACATGGATGGACTTAGAGGGTATTATGCTAAGTGAAATAAGTCAGAGAAAGAAAAATATTGTATGGTTTCACTTAGTGGAATCTGAAAAAAACAAACAAACAAAACAAAAAAAATAATAGGAACAGAGACCAAAAGAATGGTTGCCAAAGGGAAGGGGGGTGGGGGATGGGTAGAAAGGGAAAGGGGAATGTAGTCAATAATATTGTGATAAGTTTACACAGTGATTTCTAGAATTAGTGGGGTGATTACATTTTAAGGTATAAAAATGTCAAATCACTATATTGTACACCTGAAACTAATATAACCAATATAAAATTATATACCAACTGTACTTAAATTTTAAAAGAGAATATTTGGAAAATATATTTTTCTGAGACTGATAGATTATGATTAGGTAGGTTAGGGGTGAGGCCTGAGTATTTGTATGTTTTAACAAGCTTTTCAATGATTATGATGAACAGCCAGGTTTAGAAACCACTGGGTAAATTCAACTACAAAATTATTTACACAATGACCTCTTTTGGCTATCATTAAAATATGTTCTATCATTTTTATTATTTTTAAAATTAATTTATTTATTTTTGTTACAGATGTTTCTTCTTTTTCTCCCCATTGATACCCTCCTCCTGATCCTGCCCCATCTATCATTTTTAGAACCCACTAATCAGTCAGTTCATTGTTCCAACATCCTTGTGTTACATACTTTTCTAAAAATTTTTAATTTTAATGGGAAGAAGGAATGGGAAAGATAATTTTTTGATATATTTGTATGAACTCATTCCTGATTCAATAATATGAAATACAGTAAATAATGACATATTTCTATTATAACTGGTTTATCATTCATGAATGAAAAATTAGCTGCAATGTAGGTTGATTCAATTTTATGTTTCACTGTGTTTTAATAAAGATTTTATTACATGTCCTGAAAATAAGTTAAGCCTCATTAAACTTTTCAGAATGATGGTCAATACCTTTGTTTTCTAATTCATTCAAAATGTTGCATTATTCCTTGTAACCTCATGAGAAGTAGGTAAGAATTAGTCATCTATATCTGTATTATAGAGGGTACCATTCTAGGCTGAGGATGGATTTTGTTTCAATAAATTTGTACTGAGCGCTTACTACAGGTGGGATGCTCAGGAGAGTTGAGCCTCAGCCTTGTCATTAATTAGAGTCATGTAGAACAATTGTCTTAATTGCACTGAGCCCTAACCTTCTTATCTCTGAAATGAGGGCCTTGGATTAGACCTAGGATAATAGTTTTGAGAATTCTTCCAATTCTGCCTTTCTTTTATGATTATTGATCTGTAGTATAAACAGCTCCTTGAAAGGAAACCATAATTTCCTGTCTGTACTAGAACTCAAATCGCCACCTAATGTTGTGTGACATCACCTCAGTAGTGGCATTTGTCTCTCCCTTAAAATGTTGCATGGTAAAATGGTGGCAATAAGCATTTTTTATCATTTCACTGCCTCCTCCTCCTGTCTTAACACTGTATCCACAAGATGGAAGTTCTGAGATTTATGCAAATGGTATAAACATGAACATTTGGATAAATGTATTCAGAGGTACTGGGAACATGTTTTAAAATTATTCTAGCCCTGGCTGGTTTGACTCAGTGGTTAGAGCATCAGCCCACGGACCAAAGAGTTGCAGGTTCGATTCTGGTGGGGCACATACCTCGGTTTCAGTAGTCCCTGGCCCTGGCCGGGGTCATGCAGGAGGCAACCAGTTGATGTGTCCCTCTCACGTTGATGTTTTTCTGTCTCTCCTTCTCTCTTTCTCTCTCTCCCTCCCTCCCACTCTATCTGAAGATAAATAGAAAAATATCCTTGGGTAAGGATTAACAAAAAAATTTTTTTCTCAAGTTATTGGCAACATAAAATTGCCATCTTTTAAAATATGATTTAATAATAGTAAGTATAACCTTCCCTTCCCTTACTCCCTTGCTTCACCCATTTTTGACCATTTGTGTCCAGCTTTTAATGCTTGCCTTACAGATTTGAATTAAACCCTTTGCCACATTTTAGCAACTCTTTTTTCTGTTACTTGTTAGCCTACAACAAATATTTTGGAGCACTTTCAATATTTAAACTACATAAAGACTAAAGAAGGTAAATACCAAAAGTATATAACTACATCATGTGAACCTGTTCCAACAAATCCCCAAATAAAACCATTCATTTCTAAACTGGGTGATTTTAGTAAATTAGAACTTTTACATTTTACCAAGAGTTTTTATGAATTCAAAATATATATTTTCCAAGAAGTACTTAGATAAATTAGTGTACTGATTTTTTTGTGGCTATTTATTTATTGGGGTGACATTGGTTAATAAAATCACATGTGTTTCAGGGATACAGTTCTATAATACATCATCTGTATATTGTATTGTATGCTTGTGTTCTGTGCTAGTCAATTGCATAAGGAATTATGAGGTTAACCAAAGATTATGTTTGAGATAACATTACCTCGTGCCTACTCCCCAAATGCCCTTTGGAGTCCTGTGTCCACAAACCATTCTCTCAAGTGACAGATTACTAGACTGGAATGACCATAGGCCTCTCCTGGTCTAGCATAGTTTATGTTATGCTTAAAAGATTAAATGAGCTTTATATGTTCATAGTATCTGTAAAACATAAATATAGGATAGTTAAAAGATACTGTCATGCATACTACATACTTATAATAGGAATTATTATAGAAATCTACATATTACAGAAAAGTGACTTAGAATCAATCTCTAAAATGACTGGATTTAACTTAAAATAATTTCCTCATTTTAATTGAATAGATATGGTGTTGGGTAGTGAAAGAGAGGCAAAAATGTAAAAAAGAATGAAAATGCTGTTGAATCTTCAAATCAAATAACTGTATTGAGGCATGGAGTTCATCAGATTGCAGAGATTCATGGAACTGTCCATTTTATGTAGTTACAGAAGGCCACTGATTTTAAATTTTCTTTGATAAATCTGGTTCATTGGCAGCAAGAGCCCTGGAATTCACAGTGTTTATTCTATACTCATCAGTTATTACGTCCTTAATATTTTTGGTTCTTTTTTATAGGAAGAAAATAATCTGTGAGTTGTACTCCAAAGTGCTGGGATCTGAAGAAGCTTTACAAGTAAGAACACCCAGCTTTAGTACCTAGCAGGTTCTGCTTTATTTGCTCTAAATAAAGCAAAGCAGATTCTGGTTTTCTAACAGTCTTATGAAGAGAGTATAAAGGGATATGCTTAGTAGAGGATCAACTTTAACAATTACAGAAGGCCATTAAAAGTTGTTGTCAGGTGCAAGCAATTTCTGATATAGTGGTCCCTTGGGCTATTTAAATGTTCACTGAGTAACTGGTATCCAGTTGTAGTCAGAGCCTGGAGCTGCAGGTATTATCTCCAGGGTGGATAAGATCAGTTCCCAGAAGTGATGGCCTGCCCTCCTGCCAATATCATCTGACTGCTGTGACATAAAATTCTAGATATATCATCATTTGTTGGTGAAGGCACCTCAGTACATACTTGACAATGTAACTAAATCTACACTTTCAGCCCAGGTCAAAGTTATACTAATTTATTTTTCCATTAGTAGACTCAATTGACAGCATAGTTAGGAATTTTAGTGCTTTCAATCCACCACTGAAAACAAGTATGAGAATGAAATTTCTTCTGAAGATCCTACCAGATAGCTTGGGGTCTTTTAGGAAATTATCTTTGAACTGTTCTTTCATGTCCCTTGAGAAATATCTTAATCTTCAATTCTCCCTGTTTGATCAGAATGCCTATCATTCACTTTTGTAGCTTAGAGAAGTGGTTCTGAAAGAATCCCTCTTACATACTGTGTTTATCTTCCCTTCCCCATTCTACATGCCCCCCCCATTTTTTTCAGCAGTAATGTGGTGGTAGATAGGGAAGTAAAGTCTGTTATTTAGAGAATCCAGAGATTTGAGCAGACCTTTCCAGGACCTGATTATTGCTGGGATTTCCTGTAGACTTAGGTCTAAAGACTTCAGAATCTGCCTAGAAATTCCCTGTGTCCAGATACTGGAATACTTCATATCGCCCCTAGTCAAGAGTTTGAGAAAGTCAAAGTATACATCTTTAGTTACTTGGTACCTCACAAAAGGCCATTACTTGATTCTGTCACGTTTCCCCTTAAGTGTGATACAAAAACAGGTCCAACTTTTTAAAAAAATGTAAACTTTCTGTTAAAGTAAAATATATAGGAGCCTTCATTGTTGACTAGTAGAATTTCAGCTTTGTCTTTTCTTTGGCATTTTCTCCCCAATGAACTTCAGCCAGTGCATTATGAAGAAAAGAACTGGTGTGAAGAACAGTACTCCGGTGGCTGTTATACCGCCTACTTTCCTCCTGGCATCATGACTCAATATGGAAGGTACTACCCAGACACTTATACTGATTAATACAAGACATGCACCAAACTTACAATATAAACAAAGCTCAATGGGAATTTTAGAAATAGTAGTCAGCATTCCTATTTCTAATATCTTAAGTAGTCAGTCTGTATATTTCTGGATGGCCATAGGAAAATAAGTATGTTGGTTCATAGAACATCTGTCAATACATAGAACAATAGCAGAACACTGGTGAGTATTTCAGATGTTAGCAGTACATGTGAGAATTCTGCAAGCTGCGGTGTCCTCCAAGGGTCTTTCTTGAGTTCAATTAGACATTTAGTTTCACACAACTACTTTGAAGTACTGGGCACTAGTCTACACAGAAGGACATGGGCTAAAAACATCTTGCCAGCAGAGCAGTATCATATTAATCTTTAGGAGGAGGTATCCCCACTGTGTTCAGCTAAGGTGTGAGGAGGTGATAACCACACAGGGTGGGGGAGTCCATCTTGGCCTAAAAACCCAATAATAGGTACCATTATATCTTGTAACAGCCTCATAGGCATAGTGTCCCAGGTCCCTGCAAAGGACATGCCGAGTCACAAGAGGCACCACATTCAACAAAGCCCAGAGTGATAGCCTCCTACTAGGTACTTATAGTCCATGCCAGTCTTCCCAGCCCAGATGTGATTTACCACTGTGGGGCTGGGGGAGACATTTTTAGCACAGGCAGTGTTGCCTGGTAACAAAGATGATATTATACCTTAATTTGGTTTCCAAAGGAACAGAGCTAGAGAGTTAACTGAAGGTTACTGTGTCCATGAAGGAAGAATAATTTATTAACCCTTTCTTTACATGAGGTTTTTATTTGTTTTCTTTTTTAATTAATTGAATCAAATACCCTTTCTTAGTGATAGCAGGATTACACTTGATCTTATCCAAAAGGCTGAGAAGTGATGTGATAGCAGGATTAACTGGAATAGTTATGAAGTCAAAGTAGAAGACTTTAAGATGAGACTAGGATCGGGAATAAAAGAAGCCACAGATTCCTGAATTAGAAAAAGGTGTGACAGTAGGTTGAGATTAAGGCCTTTAGGGTAGAGAAGACCTATTTCCCTGCCCTCATCTAGTCTCCAGGTACATTCATAGACACTAACTATACACAGGTTGTATTTTTAAGGAGACAGACATATAATCACTTAGGTCTTTTCTTTGCCAGAAATCATTTACTCTCCCTGTCTCCCCATTCACCACTACAGTTCCTCCTGACAATACAGGAGTGCCTGCATGGTTGGGGTCTGCCATCAGATGTGATCTCATGCAGAATGCACCCCTATGGAAAGACAATGTAGGAAGCAGAATGGAGAACAACAAGAGACATATAGCAAATAAATTTGTGGATTTAATGCATGTTCTTATATTTCAATTTTGGATGGCTAGGAAAAGGTCAACATCATCTTTAATGATTGATGATCTGACAGCTTGATCTCTGGCTTGAAATATCAGATCCTTGGGTGCAGGACCCAGAAACAAGGAGGAGCCTTTCACCTTTGGCTGAGTTGCATGGGAGTTTTTAAAACAATTTGAGTTATTCTGTATTCTGTGGCGTAAATTAGGGCAGCAAATGACTCCTTAATCCTCAGTGAATTCACAGGTAACTGTGTGACTTCTCTTTCCTTGAAGGGTGATTCGTGAACCAGTAGGCAGGATTTACTTTGCTGGAACGGAGACAGCCACACATTGGAGTGGATATATGGAAGGAGCTGTTGAAGCTGGAGAGCGAGCAGCTAGATCGGTAAGGAAGGAAGCCTCGTCACCCTCCCTCATGAGTCCAGCAATGTTGTTGGCATCCGGTCTTTCTAGATCTTGACACTGATAAATCTGTATGTCTACTACTCTGCCCCTTATTCCACTCAAGGGGCTCATCTGTAGTCAGCAGGACCTTGAATCTGTCAAAACTAAAGAACTTTATTTCATAATACCATTGCCACTTTCTTTCAGATCTTGAATGCTCTGGGGAAGGTGGTAAAGCAAGACATTGAAGAACCTGAATCAGAGGTAAGTTTGGCAGCTTCATCTCTAGACCAGTAACTACATGAAAAATTCATATCTCTTGTCTTCTAACCTCTGATGTAATTGTAGGTGCCACTCTCCAAGGCATATTGTACAATGATTTTACAGATAAGTTTTGCCCCTCCTTGTCAATGTAGGAGTCTTCTGCTAATGATATATATTCATTCATCTAGGATGTTCCAGCTACTGAAATCACACATACCTTCTGTGAAAGAAACCTTCCTTCTGTGCCAGGCCTGCTGAAGATTGTTGGATTTTCCACATCAGTAACTGCGCTGTGTTTTCTGGCATACAAGTTTAGGCTTCTGGAACGATCCTAAAGTATGTTGTGTCTGCTTACTCTTTTCCAGTACCATCAGAAGGAAAAAGGTTGACACATTAATGGTTGTCTCATTAGATTATTGCTAAATGCACTGTATGTAGCTCCTTAGTCTGTGTTAAAGTAAAAACAACTCACAGAGTCACCTCATTAAAATCCATAAAGAGCATGCTCTGTCTTGTTTGTCTATGTAGACTAATTTGTGTTGATTGGTGGAATAAAACCTTGTAATCAGTTTCTTAATTTCAAGTTAAAGTGCTTTTCAGAAATAATTTATATGTACTGTTTTTCTCCCCTTTAACATAAAATGCCTCATGATTACAGAAATGAAGCATTTAACTTTCTGTAGAGGTTAAATAGGTGAAGACCCAGCTTGTGACTGATCTTTTCAGTCCTTAGGAAATGGTGATGTATAGGTCCAGAGCCCAGGGGTTCACAGCTTCTTAGGGTGAGAAGCTCCCACTTTGGATGAGGGAATCATACATGAAAGCAGTGGAGGTAGACCAGTGGCGGGGGGTGGGTATATTTTGTGGGTTGTTGCCTCAGGAATCTCTTGACCACTTCTAATTCTTGCAGAGTTTCTAGACATCTAGTCTCAGTGTTAGTTTGCCTGTATAGTTTCCCTTTTTGCTTCTTAAAGAGAATAGTGTTTACCAAGGCATAATGATTGAATTGACTTTCTGTGACTTTTGTGCAGCTCCTCAGGAGAGCAAAGTGAACTAGTAGCAGGACTATCCCCAAGATGCCTCCCTGACTAGCTCTGCATGAAGCATCTTCTCTTCTTCCTGGAAGATGGCTAGACATCACTTCAATCATCATTGATGATATAACATTCTCTACTGATTTCAAGAAAGCAGTATTTTCTTTTTTTCAGGTAGACCCTGGCTATCTGAAAGCCCATAGTGGCATACATATATATTTTTTCTGTTTTCCTAGCACCATAGTAGAATTAGACAGATCTGTTAACTTAAATATGTCTTCAACAAAGTTACCTTAGAGTAAATGTTAGCATGCCAATTTCTCTCAATTAACTGAAATAGACATTAAACATTTCTTATTGTTATTTGTTTAGACTATCAGACACAGAAAGGCAATCAGAGCTGTATATTATAAATTTACTTACCTTAGTTATTAATTTTTTATAAAAGACATGAAATCGAGTGATTTCACGTATGAAGACTAAGTTCTCTAAGGAGTAATGTGGGCCCAGAACAATACCACCTCTTGTCTTTCTTATTTTAAAAACAGCCAGATTTTTTAAAGCTCCTTCCAAAGGTTTCAACCACAAAACACTTCTTTTCTTAATATAAATATCTGAGGAAAATACCAACACAGATGTGATCAAATAAAGCAGTTAAGATTCAGTGGACTCAAATACACAGGTGGTGGACAGATGGTAACACTTTGTCCTGTATCATCGATGAATGAAAATTTTAAATGAAGTTTCTAGATAGCTGAAACTTACTCTTTTATGTGCCAAAAATTTTAAATAAAAATTGGAAGATCATATCTTCACACAGTATTAAGCAAGCTAGATTTGAATGAATTTTTATTAATGAGGTCAATTATTATATACCTCAATTATTTTACGCTTTTATAATAGAGTGATACCATTGCGTTTGCCCCTCTATAAAATGTCACATGATTGTTTTATAGCTGTTGAGTCTACTGCTTCTTCTGTCTTCTCCCATATTCAGCATTTTATTTAATATCCTAGTTATAACACACCTTAACCTAATCTGTTGTTTTATTGAATGGGAATTAAAGATTGCCAAAGGAAACCAACCCACGTTTATTACATAATTAACCTTATCATAATTCAAAATTTAAGTCATGGCCCTGGTGTGAGGACTTAAGGTATATCCTAAGAGCAAAGAGCAGGATTTATCTGCTGTTCTTTACCTTTCATGTGAAACGTGTTTTAGCTAACTTAAGAGTTTTGGCAATGTCTTGGATATGCTCTAATACATAAGGAGGTGCCACATATACCCAACTGCTTAGAGAAATCACATCCCTCATCTATTTCAGTTGTTTCTGTTCACTTACTGATTAACTCGGTTCTGACACACCTTATGAGAAAGACTTAACTGGCAAGTTTTAATAGTAATCAAGTTGATAGCATATCTACGTCTTGAATGTTGAAGAACTGATTATGTAATTACCTTCTTCTCAAACTTTTAGAAAACCAATTAATTTATTCTAATTAGATCAGCCCTATTAACCTACAGGCTGAGCATCAAAATGGATGTCAGTCCAGATGTGCATAAACATGAAATAGGAGTTGTTGAGAGCTCCCACCTTCTAGAAGATTGCTCAACACCAAGATACCATAGGTCTTTTCTCTAATCCAAAGAAACTAGTCAGTTTAAGCAGCTGAAAGAGCATGGCCTTGTTAACACTTCTGCTTCAAAGTTCTGAATGCTGAGTTGGCCTTACTCCATTGTAAGATCAAGAATTAGATTTTAAAATTTATTGTTTTTGTCACAGCTGTTAAATAATGACTATAATACACTGAAAAAATATGGAAGAACCATGAACTACATTTAGTTGGATTGTGAACTTGGTACCTACTGTTCTGTCTGAAATGTGTCCCATTGCTACATGTGGGAATATACATATGTGTTTGTTTTGCAATTGAAGTACGCTTTTGCCTGTATGGCACTGTTTTATTTGTTAATAAAGTACACTACTACCCCTGACTCAGACCTGGCTTCTATATTTAGTTGATAGCCCCAATGTTAAATGACATCTTATACCAGGAGGTGACAATGAGGCACTGTCCATGGATGATGGTTTAAAAAGCCACTCTGTATTGATTCAACTTCTCACAGTTTGGATTGACTCTCATGTTTTATCAGGGCTTTCTGGGAGCTGATTAAATGCTAGAGTATTGTCTGCCTGGGCCATAATCAGTGTAGAGTCTCATCGAAGCTTCCTCACCTAATTAACTTGTAATACCTTGAGCAAATCACTTTGGTTCTCTGCCTCAGTCTCCTAGTCTGGAAAAGCATGAGTTGTACTTGATGGCTTCTAAGGATTCTTTTCATGGAAGCATTATGTGATTTATGCATTTGTTGCCAGCACTCTCTATCATGTTTGTTTTTCAGTATGGCAGGAGCTAGTCACTCTGCCTTTCTGTATCTTGGTTTACTCCTTTGTCTTAGGTTAAGTTTCCTGGAAACAGACTCTGAGATGCAGAGTCAGGGCAGAAAGTTTACTGAGGACAGCTCTCAGAAATACAACTACAGGGGTAAGGCAGGATTGGGCAAGAGTTGACCTACAAAATAGTTGCAACTGAGGCCTCAGAAGACCTGGGAAGGACCTTCAGAATTATCCCCCACTGAGGCAAAGGGGTCTGGCCTCTCTATCCTTTCATTACCTGTCCTCTAGGAGGGGGTGCTACTTTGGGTAGGAACTGCAGCTATGAACTGAGATCAGCTTACATTCCCAGCAGCTCAGGAATCCAGGGAGGGGCATCTGCACTTTACTCTCCTTGAAAATATATGTTGTCCTAACAGTCTGAGGAAGGGGGTAGTCCCAGAGACGCGGAAGTGGGATACAGACTGACAATCCTCTAAAGAGGGGGGTGGTGGGGGAGAGATAAACCACAGAACTGATATGCATGTATGCATGAACAGTGGACAAGGACAACAAACTGGGGAAAGGGCAAGGAGGGAGGGGGAGGGGGGAATCAGTGGAGGGAAAAGGAGAAACATCTGTAACAAAAATTAATTAATAAAAAAAAAGAAAATATATGTTGTCCTTTCTCATGTAAAAGATGTTGTGGACTTGAGCTTTGGTTTTTATAGATAGAATGTACTTATCCCTGTGAAACTGTCCCTGTTAAAAGCCATCAAGTACAACTCATTCTTTTCCAGAGTGGGAGACTGAGGCAGAGAGAGAACCAAAGTGGTTTGCTCAACTTTCCCTGCCTTTAAAAGGTTAGCACTATTCTTTATGTGGAAGAAAAAAAAAAAAAAAAAAACAGAATTGGAAGGAACTCCAGAAATGTTTCAAATTCTGTCTCAGCGAAGGAGACACCATCTACAATTTACTAATAGAAAGATCAAAGTTGGGGTGGGAGGAGAATGTGCATTTATAAGTATGAGTCCAAAATCTAATGACTTTATGAGTCAGGCAGACAAAAAGGGCAGTAGGCATGATATATTAGGAAGTAGTTAGGACTGTGGCTGACCTGGGGAGTAACTGTCCCTCAGAAATGCATTTATATTAAAATTCCTTTAAAAGATTGCTAACCAATCAAGACACATTTGGAAGCTTTGCTTACATGTCCATATTGTTCCCCTCTCATAAATAAATGTAAGTTTTGGTTTTACATCATATAAATGATAAATTCTTTTTGAATGTTTTTGATTTCCTGAGAAATGAGCACCAAGACCAGCCATCATTTTGTAAAACATCCTGGAACAGGTAAGAAAGGCCCAGTAAAGGAAAAAAAGAGACAAGGGTGGGGGAAGCCCTCCTAGATAAAAAATCTCCCACAAGAAATAACCCTCCCTCAAGTCATTGCTTATCTCCTACTATGACAATGACATGATTGATGAGCAGTGCAAAACTTTATTGGAAAAACTGCATCCTCACTATGAAATAGAAACCACAACTCTTTTGACAGTGTTAAATCTCAGTTGACTATGATATAATTCCAACAAGCAAGACATCAACATTGAATATATTAATTTTTAAAACTATACTGTTGGGGGGAGTGGGATTGGGAAGAGGGTGTCAATGGGGGAAAAAAAGAGAAACAGTTGTAACAATAATAATTAATTTAAAAAACAAACAAAAAACTATACTGACCAATACAGCCAGTTGGTGATAAAATGCAAGGCATGTGCCTCAGCCTAGAGTCAATGGAGAAACTGGATGGAAATAAATGAAGGCATTGGGTAATAGTACCAATTCCCTTTCCTCTATCAGAGTTCAGTGGTTGGTTTCCTTCCTTGACCAAGGCCATTCTCTTCAGAATTCAAATTAATGTTTCAGAGTGACAGCTAGTGTAAACTAGTTGTCTTAGCCTGGATCCAGGTTTGGAAAGGCAGCTTAGAGTCTTCATGTGAATAAAAAAATAAATAAATAAATAAACTGGCTTGAGGGAACTTGGAGTTCCTTCAAGGTGGGACACAGGGCACTCAAGCAAGACTCCACTCAGTGCATGTATAACTCATATAAGACTATTATTTATAGTCCTTTACAGCCACACCTCAGTGGGAACCAGGTTTTCCTATTAATGGGCCTCAGATATTTTCCAAGAACCATGGAGGTCCATAGGTAAAATTGTGGCAGAGTGCAGTGGTGTGGATGTATGCTTAGGTAGTGGGGTGGGAGGAAGAAAAATAGAAGGGAAATGACAGGGAGGGGTTTGTTTAAATGTCCAGAGAGCAACATAATGAGAATTTTGATGGGTTGATACCACCAAAATGAATAGGACACACCTGACCTTGCCTTTTTGAGTTGATAGGAAAAATTAGGTAATGCAGGTAAGGGCTTAGGCTTAGCATAGCAAACACTCAGTAAGTATTAGCTATTATCCATTGGACTTTTAGAAAAGAAGCAGAAAGAAGGTATTTTTAAATTTTTGTGAGCAGTTATTACCCTGAATTTTAAAATCATTCAACACGTACTTTCTGAGCACCTGATGTATACTGACAGACACCACTGGGAATTCAGCAGTGAAAAGGGAATTCACCTCATGGAGCACATAGTCTATTGCAGATGCCAAAAAACAAATTTGGCCTCTAGCCAATGTTATGAAAAACATAAAATACTATGAATGTGCCCTGGCCCATGTGGCTCAGTTGGTTGGGCACTGAGAAATTGCCAGTTTGATTATAGTCAGGGCCTATGCCCTGGTTGCAGGCTCTCAGTAGGGGTCTGCAAGAGGCAGCCAATAGATATCTCATTGATGTTTCTCTCTCCTTCTCCCTTTCTCTCTCTGTAAAAATCAATACAAACATTTAAAAAATACTATGAATGCAGTGTAAGTTTCTAGAAGGACATGAGATTTAAGGGGGGGTGGATTTCTGTCCTCAAACTTCTGTAAGTCACTGTGTAGCAAGTCAGTGACAATACTGCACAGGGCAGAGAAAGGGAATAAAAAGTGAGATGGTGTCTTAGTCCATTTGGGCTGCAATAACAAAATGCCATAAACTGGCTGACTTATAAATAGTAGAAATTTATTTTTCACAGTCCAAGTGCCTGTAGATTTGGTGCCTGGTAAGGGCCCACTTTCTGGTTCATAGGCTTCTAGCTCTATCCTCACAGCGTGGAAGGGGCGAGGGATTTCTGGGGGGTCTCTTTTATAAAGGAACTGAGCCCATTCACGAAGGCTCCATCCTTATTCCCTAATCTCCTCTCAAAGGCTCCACCTCTTAATACCATCAACTTTGGGGTTAGAGCTTCAATATACATATTTGGGGCAGGGGAACACAAATTCATACCATATTAGATGATATGGCTAAATGGTAAAGAAAATCACAAGCACCATCAGTAAATTCTGAATGTTAAATCCCATTTGCTCCATTGACCATTGTTAACTCCTAGTCTTCTATTGTTCACATCTACCTAGCCCTTCACTGCAATCTGAAATATTTATCAACTGAGACTCCCTATCTCCCAGCCCCTTGTGCTAACTGCCTAAATTTGTTTTAAAAGAGTGCCATCTTCTGGCCAAATACTGCTGTTTCCTTCTGATGGAAATCTTAAAGTATTCAAGTCAGTTTCATCCTTGGGGACAAGTAAAGAGATGTCACTTCCACCCAGAATTTCCTCCAAACACATATGCCTCTTTCTTTCCAGTTGCAACATAAATAAAAATAACAATGTCTAATATCCACAGCTATTTCTCTACTCTAATCTCCCAGGAAGATTTTGTTGTTAGAACTTCTTGGTCCTCAGCCTTTGTTGTATCCATCTGGGTGACAGGTGAAGGGGAAAATTTGTGGGAGCGAGAGAGGTGGAATTGCTTTTACCTTAGATAGCGAAGGGAACTAATCTATAAAAAAGGGGGTGGGGAGAAGAGGAGTAATTTTCAGAAAGTAAACGGAGTTATAGAGTGCAGCCCAGGGGGACAGAAAGTTAGAATTTTAAGGAAGTTTGGGTAGTAGGTATGTGGTGCAATATAGATCTACACTACTCTTTAGGCTTTGGTAGTCACAACTGTGTTTCTTTTAGATACTATATTGTACTGAGATCACCTTAGAGGTTCTCTAAACAACCTGTGTTATTCTGGGCTATATAAATTCAGAAAACATATAGCTAATAGTTCCTGGCATCTTCAGTGAGGCCTAAGAGTCCTGTAAGTTCAGTTCAGAGATCTCAGTGGAACTAAACAGAAAAGACCTCAGTAACTCTGCCCTGAAAAGACCAGCATCTAATCTGGTAAACCCCAAACTTGATAGACACTAAATAAGTCTGGCAGCGAATTTAATTTATATTAAGAAAATGAGCAAAGGAGGTCTGCTTTTCCAGTATGTGTCTTCAGCCAGCTACCATTGTATCGGCATCAACTGGTATTAGATGAGCTTTGTATTTAGACTGTGCAGAGCCAGAGTGTGCATTCTAAAGGCAAGTTCACTGGCATGTGGGGAAAATTCAGACAGGCCAAAAAGAGTGAGGACAGATCAGCTTCTGTCACAAACAGCCCAACCACTTTTGCCATGTAAGCCAT